AATAATTGATACGATGAACAAAGATCAAGAAACTTAACGGCAATTAAAATGTAGTATATCAAATGAAAATTGTAGAGACAATATAACTGCTCATATAATTATTCTTATGGAAATCTTCCTCACATGCAAAATAACTACATCTTTCCCATTATACTCTTTATATTAGAGATCTCTTTCTTTTCTTTTTATTTTTGTAAATTTTAATTTAGATAAGAAAATTGTCCTTTAGCTTGAAGAGAGTGATATTTAACTTTTTTGCAAATACTATCGCATCACAATGATATTTTCAATATTAACATTTTCACCTGAAGGAAAAGGAACAAATTAAAAAAAGTAGAGAATGAATTTCGTATCCCCCAATTTTTAACATGTCTACTTTCTTTCTTTCTTTCTTTTTTTTTTTGACAAAAATGAAATTCGTATCCCCCAGTTTTTATTAAATATGACAATTTAGTCGTACAAAATGGCTGTAATGTCTTTTATTAAAATGTCATATAAGACAAGGATGTCGAAGCATCTAAATAGATTGGAAACTATTTTCAACTTTATCTTGATGATAATGTTTAGATTGCTCAAAATGCTTGCCAAAAGGAAGAGTGTGCGTTAAAATAGACTAGAAACACTTGTCAAGTTTGAGTAATTTGACGAAAATGATTAGATAATTTATAATACATGTAAAAATAGATGATGGAGAATTCAATAGAACTTTTGAAGGAAAAAAAATGACATTATTTAGAAAACGAGAAAATGAAGAATACATTTCACTCTCTTTAAAAGTGACATCCCATCTAATTATTTCCTAATACCAACTTTGAACCTTTTATTCAATGATAGCTTTGTTTTTACTTCTTTATTTCAAACAATGGGGAAAAAAGAGTGAAATGGATATAATTTGAATATGTTTTAATAATAATTTTAAGGGTACTAAAAATATAAATGGGTAAAATTGGAATTACAAATTTGCTTCAAAGAGAAAATAAGAAATTATGGCTGTATTACCTCCTTTGGACCTTACTGATAACAATACATGAAAAGGAAAAAAAAAAAAAAAAAAAGGGTTCATGCTTTAACAATACATAAAAAGTATTTGAATTTGTTCCTACATAAAGGTGCCTTCGGGGCGGAGTCCCATGTAGTTCAGTGCATGCATTTGCCTATGGGAAATTATAATAATTCAGGTGTTTAAAAATTGAAATTCAAAATTCAGGGATCAAGTTTTATTATGCAAAAATCAGGTAATATAAAAACCCTTACCCTAATTTATCATTCTCACCCTCACATTTCTCTCTCTCTTGCCTCCTCTCCCCTCTCCTTCCCCTTTCCTCCGCCCCCCTTATCTCTCCTTCCCCCACCATATCTGCCTCTCCCCTCTCCGCCGGACAGCAGCGTCGCTAGCAGCGTAACGCTGCTAGCGACGCTGCCATTCGCACAGCAGCGCGCGACGCTGCCACGAACTGAGCAGCGTCGCAACGCTGTCGTTCGCGCAGCAACAGCCACGACGCTGCTGCGGTTCGAGGGTTCTGGTCGACGCTGCTGTGGTTTAAGGGTTCGGGTATGGAGTGATGTTGGTGGGTATGGATGCAGTGGTGGGTTTGGCTGGCGTAATGTTGGTGACGGGTTTGGTTGGTCGTGATGTTGGTCCAACTGGACTCAATTTGTCCAAGAATCAACTGAAGGAGATGCCGTAGATGTAAGGAATAGGCTCAATGTG